ATTCGAACTCGACGAAGATGATTAAGTAAACTTTTTAGGCTTTTTCCCTTGTAAATTATTCTGTTATTAAATTGTTGATCATCTGTTTAACTGTCTGTTTTACTTCATCTTTTGTTGACGTAACCAGTAGATTCATTTTGAACTGTAGCTTTTACCACTTTTTTTTTCCTTTTGATATACAATTTTATAAATTTCAATAAGCATGTAATAAAAAAGAGCTAGTGATAAATCAACAGGTGGGGTGTTCGCCCGGGGGGTACTCACCATAATGGCCTATAAAGGGAGGCTCCGCCTAAAAGGGGTATCTTTTTCTGGCTTCAGTATATGAGAGGGTAGGGATTTTACTCGTTGAAGTATATGAAAGGGTGGGGATTTTACTCGTTGAAGTATATGAAAGGGTAGGGAAATCTATCATTTGGGTCTGTGAAATGGCTAGTAGGACTCACAAATGAATTTTATGGCTCTATAAAGTCAAGAAAACGTTCTATTTGTGTGATTGATTCCAATTTAAAAGACAGTTCATTTAAAGCGGTCAAAAGAGATGCAAAGTTCTAAACAAGGTATGTGAAAGGGGTACCAAATGTCAATAGAATTGAAGGTATACGAAAGGGGCACCTTTTTCGTGAAAAATGGTATATAAAAGGGTAAGGAGTTGGACCTCGGGGTGGAACCTCCCCAAATAAAAATTGGTTGAGTACCACCCCAGGGGTGTTCGTTGTAAATAATAAAAAAGTCATTATGCAATGAAAATTTATTTTCGCCCCCCAAAAGAGGCCACTGCTAGCACAAAACGTTTTTCCTCTCCATTGTGAAAAAGAGCAATCTCCTATAGCCCCTTGTTACGAGAGAAAGAGAGATCAGGAGATGTGTCACTAATAAGAGAGGGTCAGGTCCTCAAATCCCCTAGTTCTAGACACAACTACCGTAAATCCTCTATTAAGCCTCCCCGGGGGGCTTATTTTTTTCAAGCACTTTTGAGGGGGGCTTAATAGAAAGGGGGGCGCTTCTTTAATTTAGCAAAACGCATCACCTGAGCAAAAATACCGTGGTATGAGACAGAGTAGACTAATGTGTTGTACAATAATTTACAGTCACTGTCAAAAGTATTTAATTCAGTTGTGGGAGCCTAAAAGTAACAAAAACAAAATTCTTCTTCAAAAATGTGCTTTCGGTCTCATGTTCTTCGGTAATTTTTATGAGAATGGTTACTTGTATTGATTTGTCGTACACAACTTACAAACGAAAATCTCTGGAAAACTCCTCTTATATTTACATTTTTTATCTCTTACATTTAAATGTTTTATATAAACAGCCTTGAAATTTATGATGCTATAATACTATTAGAAAATGGTGACAATTGTCCACAAAGAACTAGAGTGCAAAGTTGAGAAAGTTAAGCATATGAAGTTGGAGGTCATGTGGCCGAAGACCAAAAACAATATGAACTTCCAGCCTGAATAAACCATAACTGATCAGTCCACGTTAATCGTTAATTGTTTTGTGAAGAATAAGTATTGGGGGAGGGGGAAGGGTTGGGCTTATTAACTTTCCTCCTCTGAAAAGGGGGGGCTTGTTTTTTTTTCTCCCTTTTTCTTGTATTTGAACTCGTGCTTTCAACTGGTTCATCAGGAACTAGGAAAAAAAGTAAATTGAATACAGTACAATTCAGCAGCTCCTCTAAAGGTGATAGAAAGGGTCTGACCGATTTCAGTAAAACAGTGGAAACCGTGTGGATCCGCCCCTGACAAGCATGTAAAGCACGATTTTTGGTAGAAATTGCTTATTACCATCGCAGGACTAATGTTGTCACATGTGATGAGAATGGCAGTGCTATTGTCGCTTTTATTAAAAAAATGGGTTAGTTCATTATGTTATGCATTTATCTATAAACTAGCCTTTGATCAATGATCTCCTCCTCTTTTTGAGACTTGCATGATTTCACGTGGTAAAGCAGGAATTAGTTCATCTCCAAGTAAAGGTGCATCCAAACGCTCAGATGGTCTCATCTTATTCAGTATCGTCCTTAGTTTATCTGGCGATATAGCACACTCGCCGGCCTGCTTTTGACTCGATTCTTTCATCGCTTCAACGTACTAAAAAAAAGAACAAAACGTTTTTAAGGATAAAATGTAAAATGCATTTGAACGCGCCCATGTGCGATCACCTCTCATGAGCGATCACCTTCCATAAGCGACCATCTATCCAAAAACATCAAAACGTTTCCCAGTCAAAGCCCTGTAATTGAAAACGAGCACCTCTAGTAAGCGACCGCCACCACTTTTGGGGGAGACGGTTTTGTAATTTTTATCCTGTTGTAGGCGACCAACTGACCCGTGGTCTAATCTCTATGTTCACAATCAGTACCAGCCTTCCAAGAGTATACAGAACTTTTATAAGTGACAACGTGGAACCTCACATATACAAATTGCACGTGAACAATCTTTGCTTAAAAGCAGATGTCCTGGGACCTTTTCTCGAAAGAGACTCGTATACTTCGATACTCGCAGGCAACCACCAAATCTTCGCACTTTGGGCGGTCGTTTACCGGAAGTTAGACTGTGACGGAATCCATGAAAGGGAGTCCTAATCTTGGATTCTGGATTCTGCGGTGTGGATTCTGGATTCCCGGATTCTGTGCCAGTGGAACTTGGTTTCTGGATTACAAGCAGCAGGATTCAGGATTTCTTAGAATGTGTTCCGGATTTCCAAAACCAAGGATCCCGGATTCAACAGCAAATATTGCTGGATTCTGGATTCAGTCAATTAAAAATTTTCCGGATTCCGTAATCCGGATTCTCTTTTATGGGGCGACTCTCTGTAATGCTAAATGTAAAGCGATGATTTGGAGCAGAGATGAAAAGGTTCATTTAATTTACCATGACCCGCTTGCAAAGCCGATAATCTTCCCCGGTATTGAAAAAGCTTTGCTTTGATCTCACTCAATCGACCTTGATCTTGAAACAAGAAACACGCCCTCTTCTTTCATCCTTGTAATTTCTGTTTCTACAAAAGTGTTAACCAATAATTCAGAACAAAAAGGTTACCGTAAAATTCCGAAAATAAGCCCCGGGGCTTATATTTTTTAAAGGCCCTTTTTGAGAGGCTTATTTTTGGAGGGGCTTATATTCGGAGGTGCTTTTCTATGGAGGGAAATTTGTGTTTTAAAATCGACTGGGCTAGCCTTATAGTTGAAAGGAAATTTACCGTTTTTGCTTTGTTTTACTTTGTATTTGAGGGCAATTTCCAACTACAAGCCCCCGGGGGGCTTATATTTGGAGGGGTGATTTAACGTAGGGCTCTTTGCGTTACGAGTTTGGGGGCGTATATTTGGAGGGGCTTATTTTTGGAATTTTACGGTATTCTAAATATAAAAAAGGAAATGTGCTTTTTATTATTGACCAATGAGCTAAACCAATTGTATAAAGTTTACTTCACTTATTAAAGAAAGAACCGAAACATGCTTTAAGTAAAATTCCAATTTCTTCATCCCCCGGTTTTTCCAAATTCCCCCTTACTGCACTTTTCAAAAGCACGTGAATTCTGAAGTTCAAAAGCCAACTGACGTTTGCGTACTTCACTGCTGTCAATCATCTTAGCGGATCTCTTAGAAAACAGAAGTTTGTGATTTGTGATTGGTGGATTTCGATCCGCATTGTGTGTCTCTTCGTAGGTTCGTTGCTTGTGATCGTAATTATGTTGACGGTAGCCAAAAACGCAATTGCGAAGACAGCTTTTGAACTTCAGTGTTCTGGTGTTTTTGAAAAACGCAGTAATCAACCCAAAACTGACTTTTAATCGCAACCAAAACACGGGATTCAATACCCCTCTATGTTCTCTTACAATATGGTAATTAATAAAGACACTTTGCTCGAATATTCAGGCAAAACCTCAGAAGAAGAATGTAAGTGCATTGCAAAAAAAACGTCTTGGCTTAAGATCCCTGATGCCGTGTTATGATGATTATCATTATCTACGCTTTGGAGTTGCACAGGGGTCTGTCCTCGACCCGATGCTGATGATTAAGTTTTATAACTACAATACTAACGATTGCATTTTATGACATTTATACTACTACGTGAGAAATAACTGCGATTTGATTGGCTTAGAGTAGTGTTATCTCAGCTTAATTTGAAATACCTACATGTGAAAATTACAAACCTTTTGCGGGTAGTGGTATAAACAAATAATAGCTTGATTTGTACGTGATATTTGGCATAAATATCACTCGTGATATTTCAAAATTGTCTCAAATTTCCCTCGCCTAACGGCTCGTGAAATTACGTATAACAATTTTGAAATATCACTCATGGTTGTAATGCCAAATATCACTACAAATCATGCTATTACCTATACAAGCTAGAACAATTCAGTGTCAATAACTAGCTATAGCTGCATTCAATGCGGCTCAGATGCGATCATTTTTGGTAGCAAAATATTTCTTGCACACAGTTCAGTGTTTCAAATAAGTCATGACAAAAAATCATCCGTTTCTGATATTGCAAAACAACAACTGAACAACAACAACAACATATATATTAAAATGAATAAAACCTCGTATTCCTAAATAGCTCCTTCTACATTTTCGCAATGGATATATAAATATCATCATCATTTATAATCTATTATTGAGTTTACTACAAAAAAAAAGAGCAAAAAGGATCATTTAAACCGTAGAAGAATTGTATTTTCACCTCACCGAAGGCGTACGCTGAGTGAACTGACGTACGCAACAGGACGGAAGACGGAAGAAGACGGCAAACCTTAGTGTGTGACAAGCGTGACAATAATTTTGTTTGAAAAAACCTTCCGCCAAACTTCACCTTCTTTTAAATAGATCTTTTTTTGTAAAAGACTGGAAAAAATGTTAATGTCAATTGAAGATCACGTCAGATCAAAACAGACAAGTAACAGCCCCGTCACTTGTCACACCCAAGCGTTTTGCCGTCCTCTTCTTCCTGCCGTCCTGTTGCGATATGAAAACAATAATTTTCCCTTACTTATTACAGAATGTGGGTTTCTCGCCCTGCCTTCTGACTTGTTTCCACACAATCTTCGTCCTTCTTTTTCTCTTGTTCACAAAGATCAGCAGCAAGACTAGAATTTTTACACTGAAACAATAACAATAACAAATAAGTTTATCTCTTTTTTTTTTGCAAGTTGTGGTGCATTCTTATTGTTTAGATTGAATGAAGGGCTAGCCATGCCTCATTATCATTTGAACCATGCAAAATGATACCATAAAATCATAAGAATGATGAATAATAATATCTTTTGATAACATCGTAATCTTTACAAATAATGGTATGATGAGCTGAAACAAGTAGCAAACCTTCCATGCGAATGTCAAGGTGAATTTTACCGGGTGAGATAACTCAGGATAACTATTCAGGGTTACAGGAAATGTTTTCCAAAAGAAGGAATTTTTTAATACCTCTATAAAAAAAAGCTGTACGAGATGCTAATGTTAAGACATGATGAACAGGGATGTCATGCAGTGCATGCGCATGTTCTGACATGGATATCCATGGTTCCGATAACAAAGTTAGATTTGGTTTTCAAAATCAGGGACACTGCTACATTTCTCGTAGCGTATTGTTGTGGTATATTAAATGCTTATATGTACCCTAGCTGATTCTAGAGAATAAAGTGGTGAATTGGTTTAAATGAGAATGTCTTTTCAGTTTTTAGAATGAAAATAAATGTCAATATATGTAAGTAAAACAATCGTGTTTTGAAGCTTTTAACCTACCTTCTCCGAGCTCTGTTCACCGCCAACTGTTTTCACTACGAGGTCTTTTACATCCAAACAAACATCTCCAACTGAAGCATACGGAACATGAGCCGGCGTATAAAATCCTCGAACACTCTGTTTTACATTGGGATTGTACTTTTCTCGCCAATGGTCTTCTGGTAATTGCGATTGGTAATGACAACCCGTTCGAATTCGGACTTTTCGCTCGCCATGCGGCGCGACGAAAGGCGGTTGAAACTCAGATCGAAAATTTTGTTTCAAACATCGAACAATGTCTGCGTATTAAAAGTTGGTTATCTGATTTTTGAAGCACGACCATGTTACAACTGCGCCAACAGTAGCACAAGAACAAATGCGAACTAAAACTTTCAAAACTTACAGTTACCATAGAAACGTTTCATGACGAATTGTCGTGACGACACTTTCGAACGCTTGGAACACTCTGCGCCTGCAGTGCAACAAGGAACCGAACGAGAATGAAAACCGGCGTCGAAAAAAAAAATAATGGTCGGGTGAAAAATAGAAAAGGAGTGCAGAAAGAAGAGGGCGTCAAAACCTTTGTTTATGACAAACGTAACAGGGCTATTACTTGCGCGTTTTCTCGTGATCTCCTCTTAGCGGAGCTCCACGCGCGGCGCTTTGCGGCATTGGGTTATTTTTGGTGCGATTTTGCGGTAACTTTTTTTTTCAAAGTACGGTGTTGCGGTTTTCAGAGTCCAAGTATGCGGTAATTTTAAATTTTATGACGCGGTAATCGGTGAAAAAATTGTTGTCACGCGGTGATCTGCTTCGTTTCTTTAATCCATGACAGCTATACAAGTCTATGGGTTCCTGACAAATCCTAAAAGGAGTCCTAAAAGGTCTGCCTAGGTCCCCTAACCTGCGTGTCTCCCTAGTTGCACAGTCGGGGACCGTCATGATTGCGCAAAGAGAGTCCAGACAATGCGCTCATAGACATGGTGGAGATTTTATTTTCGCGGGAAAAGAGTGTCCTAAAATGTGTCTTGGCTAACGTTCTTACCGACCTTACCGTCTCTTTCGTGCCAGTCGCGAACCAATGGCGAGCGATCCAGATGGTGAACAGAGTGACTAGTCAGATAATCCAGTAAATAGTGAGGTCGTTATGAATTGCGTAGCAATTTTCTACGAAGAAGGAAAAGGGGGTGAAAATTACAGAAAAAAAAAATTCCGTTGTTTGAAAAATCGAGGGGAGACGAGGCTGGGGAAATTCAGGGAAACCGTTTGGTACGTACTATCTTATTGTACTTACCCCTAACCTACCTCAACAGTACATCGATTATCGACATTTTCCTGTCCTACATTCTACTTGAAAAAAATAGACTGACAGTTATCGAACCTTATCGTATATGAGCTTCACTGAAAACGTTTGATAAACAAAGACGAGTGCGATGGTCGTACATGTATGTTTATCGTATGCTTAACATCGACGCACCTTAATTTGGAAACACTATTCAAAAGGCGGATTTTAGTCTTGAGAATGGCAACTTCTTCCCATTTGCAACTGCGGTTTCGGTATTTGGGTAAACTTTGATGCGGTATTGCGGTTTTCTCTCTCTACCACGTGCGGTATTGCGGTATTCGTACCTCCCTTACGCCCCCTTCCTTTTACGACAAGATCTTCTGAATTGAAGTTTGGCTGAATTTTTTTCAAACATTACTGATTGTCACTCTTGTCACAGAAGGTTTGCTCTCTCCTTTCCTCTGCCGTCCTATTGCTTATTAAAGTTCACTTTTTTGAAGAACAAGTCATTGGCCTTCATGTTTTGCAGAAAGATCACGATCTGTTTTTGCCTTTTTTACATACCATAAGCGCGACAGATGACACAAGAAATACGAGCGTGTCTTTATGTTGTTGTATGTTTGTTTGTTTTTCTTTTATCTCCTAAGTAGTTACAAAAGAGCCTGGGGGCAGCATAAAGCTTGTCTGGGATTGAAAGTGGTTCGGCCTAACCAGGCAAAAAAAAAAAATTCATTAAGCAAGATATGAGGTCAAGCAAGTGCACATCTTGTAACACAACCGGAGTTTAAAAATGCGAAGACATCCAATGACACTCAATCCGATATTGGAAAACCATCTGACCGTCACATAACGTTTCACGTAATGTGTCTGTCCATCTTCGTTGTTGTTTTAAATCGTCTTTTGTAGCTTAACAGCGGAGCTCTCGCGCGCGAGGCGCGCCAGCGGAGCATCATGGGTAAGAAAATGAAGCAATCTACCATCTGAGAAATTTGGTAATCACGTGACTGTGCACCGACCGACCTCTCGCCCGAGCGATCGTCCGTCCGCACCAGAGGCATACCAATGTAAAATAACTCATGGCAACCCAAATGCAACTCGAGGTTATTTTGGAGGTAAATCGCATAGCCACCGGCGTCTCAATAAAGACAAAAACGGAAAGCGGAAATTGTTTCTGTATCCGTGTTGTCTAAAATATTTAGTTTAAACTATCTGTCATGTCCACAAATTTGGAATATAGAGCAGGAGGAAGACAGAGAAAAAGAGAAAGTGGGCGGCACGCCAGCGAACTCAACGAGGAAAAGGGCGACAGAGGTCTAGAGTGAGAGATAAAAAACAAAGGAGACATTTTTGTTGGAAGAACAACATAAAAATTTTGTAGCGGCAGTGACAAAATGGGAAATGCTAGCGGCCACCAATGCAAGGTGAAAAAAACCGGCAGTGAAAAAAAAGTGAACGAGAACACGTTCGACATTTCCTCCATAAAACGTGTAACTAAGAAGTATCTGGAAGTTTCACGCTGTAGTCGTGCAAAACAACGGCAAAAGAAATGTACAAAAAAGTGTGCTGCACGTACAAAGTTGCTTTTTTTGCTAATTAGACCTATTGCTGTTTTTCACCATTCTCCGGCTTTGCCTTCGCAGCTTAGCATTACACGATTTTATATTTTGTTTGAACAAACTATAAATGTTATCGAGAGCTTCGCTTTTAGCCCTGGCTAAATGTATATATTATTTTTACACTTTTTTTTAAAACTCTGGGACCACTTTATTTGGCTTACCACTGTTGCAGTATCCCTATTTACATAGGCTAGTGTAACCTCTCTGATCATAAAGCCACCCCTGCCTCCACTTTGAGTGACCAACAACAATTTTCTCCTAACATCATCACAACATCATAAAATGAAAAGGTTATGAGAATTGTTAAAAAGATCACAATCGAGTAAATACTTTGATCATGAAAAAAATTATTCTCGAATAATCCTCTCAGAAAATGTATAATCCAGGACAGTCTGGACAATTTGTTTGTTAATATTGGGGTTTAAAGGTGTTAAGCAACATCCCCTCCCCCCCCCACACACACACAAGTAAGACCCTTAAAATTATTGTCACAGAGCGATTTGTTGAACAACAGCAAATATCTTTGCTGTTCAATTTAGAACACCATGAACTGCACCTAAGAATGTTCAGCAACATGTGTTGGAACCAATGATTACAATTCCTGTGAGCTAGTCAAAAAACCACAAACTAATCACTGTTGTTGATTGTACTTTATTTTTTCCCACACTGCACCTGATTGGTTTATTCCTTGTGTCACAATAACATTCCAGCAATGTTTTGACAACAGCCTTATAATAATTTATTATTTCTTGCCCATAGAGTTCTCGACCTAAAATGTTCAGTGTGTGATAATCAAATGATACTAAAAAACAACTTTGTAAAATTTAAACCATGTATTATTTAACAATTGATTTGGGTTAGTTTCTCAGAAATACTGCTCATGCAATAGAATAATTACTAAAGGCTTGCTGCTCCAGTCTTACATAATAGCCTAGCATCATTCCAACCCAGCCCGTTACTAGACTGCAAAACAATCCGTATTTTTGCTTATTCAAGTACGCGCGAGCAGTCAAACAAAAGGTCTGAAGTTAATCGTACTTTAACTAAAGAAAGGAAATAAAATAGCGTTCTCAATATCTTATTGCATATTGGCAAGTCCTTTTTGAATATCTAATAATAATGATGATAATAATAATAATAATAATAATAATAATAATAATTCGATCTCTTATATTGAATAGCCTGTGTTTAAAATGATACGCAATTTTAAGAGGGAAATGGGACTAATCGTTGGCCGTAACAAAGCCAATTTTTCAAAGGATTTTTTTAAAATTGTTAGTCATGAAAAGAGTTAACCGTAAAAATATGCTTCTAGCTGTAGTTTGTGATGTCAATATTTCTTTTTGCGAGTTTCCGTATCTTGTCTCGCGCGCTTCGCGCGTAAGACTCTTACGGCACGCTTTACCGATTTCTTTACTGAGTTTGAGAAAAAAACCCGACTGTTTTACAGTTTAGCCCTTTACACACACACACACACACCCTCCCCACCCCAACCACTCAAATATGCCCGAAGAAAATTAATAAGGAATGGTAACAGAAAGTACATAAGGTACCATTGTGTTAACACCATTCCCTGTACTAACACCAAATGCAGTGGAGCCTTGAAGATACAACCAACCACTTAGTCTGGGCAGAGGCTCCGCATTGGGGGAAAAGGAGAAAAAAATCGGAGTTGGCAAAAAAAAAAAAGAATCGGTGCGTGAAGCGAGCCAAGCGGTAGTCCTCCCACCACTAAGCTTGCTTCACTCACTGCTATTTTTCCTATTTCTCCCCTTTTTTCTGGCTTTTTCCCCCACTACAGAGCCTGCATGGTCCCAGGCTACCAACATCTATATACTTTACAAAGTTCTCCGAGGTTATGAACACGATTAATGACACTTTTACCAATCTATTTTAATTTCCTATGCACCTGCTAGATAAAGGTGCTAAGAGCAATCAAATGATGTAACATTAATGCCAGTAATAAAAAAATGAAAAGCTGAAATTGACCTTGTTCATATTTGGGTATTGTGACAGACTATTTTATTTCTTTTCTGACTTCAAATTAGGACCAAAAAAGGGAATGTTATCTACACTATGTCTTCTTTTTAATAGAACTGAATTAGTTGAAGGATTGTCTGTAGATGCGAATTTTCATCCTAAACCTCATTCGATGTCAGATTACAATGTGATTCCAATATTTTAAACATCACTTTTTTTTAAACAATTTGTAACATTGAATTGTAAATGACTTTAATTTATATAAATATTGTAATCACAACAATATTAGTACTTTTACACTGTAATTGTATTTGAAATATTAACATCATAAATGTATTTAAAAGATGGTTAAACCTCAAGTGAATCAACTAACCAAACAGAGGTTGCTGTGAGTCACATCACTGAACCAGCTCCAAAGAATCCTTAACAGTTAAGGCTGTATCATCAGGTGACGGCTTGTTAGCCATCCATGACAGGTATGCATTCCAAAATATTGCTACAATTTGCACAAAGCCAACACGGTGCTGAATAGAAACAAACGTAAAATTCACAGTCTGTGCAAGGGGCCAGATCTTATAATTTGTGATCAGTGTCTGTACGTAGCGTTCCTGGAGCATCTCTTTAATTTCATGTGGTCGTTTTCCAGCAAGTGTCTCTGACACACTGAAAAAGAAGCATATCATAACAGGAGCAAAGAGACTCTGATCCAGCAGCATCTTTTTAAAGCCGGCAGTTTTGGCAGTCCCAGGGACAATCCTTTCCAGTGTAAGATACCATGATCTTAGCACAGGGTCAATAACTAGTCCAACCACGCCCATACGAGCTGTTCTTCTGACGTCATGATTTGTGCCTCTTCGCTCAGCAAATTGCTGGGTGATGACATCTCCAGCGGCGACAAGGACACCTAAGGCAAAAACAAGAAGTAATGAAGAGTTATACTGTCTTTGCAGCCCAGGGGAAAGCAATCCCGCATTTGGCCTTAATTGGTAACAGCACTGAACATGGTATGGGTTTGGGGGGTTGAGAGTCTTCAAACTGAGTACACAATTTTGCCATTAGCCTCTCAAACAGGGTGCTGCCCTGAACAGGCTGTAAAATGTGGGAGATTTCAATCAGTGTACATGTACATGTGTGTGTGAAGGGGGATTCAATAGCCTAAATATGGGTTGGAGAATCTCTTGTCTAAAATAGAGTAGTGAAATGGATGGTTTTAAGGCCTTATAGAGGCACACAGGGTATATAAATGAGGCAGCAAGTGAGATTGGCAGCAACAGCTTAATACACCCAGTCAATTTGCCACTTCCTCTGTACTTTTATACTTAACATAAACACATTAGATAATCACTCTTTTTCCTCCATTCTTTTATCTTTAATTTACCCATGGTCTGACTGTAACCTAGGGATGAGTATCAATTCTACCCTGGGACTGGGGGTTGGGGGGGGGGGGGGGCAGTATAGGATCACTGACTTGGGAGGAATAGGGGGACTGTCCTCACATCATTGTAGCTCACATCCAGGAGGTGTGAATGAAATCCTTCCCCTTTAACTTCTGTGAACTCAGATTGCACTCCCTCCCCCCTCGGTACATTCGCATCCTACATGAATGCGAGTTACAGTATTTATGGAATAATAGGGGACTGTGAAGTCTAATGGGAATTAACATCAGCAGGGTGCAAAGAAAGTCAGTTTTACAGCTTTCCGTTTGGGCATTAGCCCAAAGGTCATTTTAACTAGCCCCAAACACTTTTTGATGAGGTAACTGCAATGATTACACAGTTCTTAGACTGTAATTTTAATCCCTCAAAAAACGTCACTGTCCTGTACAGTGGGCAAGTTAAGAATGAAATCCACTAGCGCAATAGCAAAATCCACCAGTCCAGAGCTATTGGACACTAACTTCTTTTTGCAATAATATTATGATGCCTAGTTGTACCATAGCATGTTCATGGATAGCTTACATATACATCAGAACTTAGTCCCTTAACCCATAAAACAAATACTTGTACCTGTTTTAAAGAAGATAACCAAACAAAATTTTCACCATGGAGCACAAACCGTAACAATTTTTATGATTGTAATTTTTGCAGGCACAAAGCCTGCTTTGAAACTTGAAAAGGGCGGCACAACTTTTTCAAGTTTTAATCAACATCCATCCTTGCCATTCGTAGCTACAGACAATAGACCCTTGTCACCAAGCAGCCATTTTGTTCCAAGAGATTAAAAAAGCTTTGTATTTGCACAGCTAGCCTCGTTCTCACTGCCAGCTAGGCTAATTGTGCAAAAACAAAGCTTTTTAAATCTCCTGGGACAAAATGGCCATTGTGTGACAAAGGTCGATAGGATATGGTTTCAATGCCTAATTTATATTAGCTGTGCATAACAAAACTGGACCATTATTTTTGGAAGTTAGAAAATAGTGTGGCATAGCCCCTTTATGTTCACTAAGAACATAAGGTACTATAATGAAAGTCTTTCGTAGAACATTGCTCTCAAATTATTTGTAGAAAAAATCTTACTATTTTTGATTACGAGCAAGTACAATAAACAACAAAAGAGAAAGATACTTGTAGAGTATGATTAAACCACAGTAAATTATAAGAAGGATACTGTAAAACCTAAGAATGAAATATTAGTTAATTACTATAAAAGTGTTCATATTTACAAAAAAATGTAGATAAGCATGAAATTGTTAACACTTTTTTCTATTGTTTGTCAGTCAAGCAATCAAAATAAATAAAAATCCCAAAACAGTAAGTTGCAAAGAAACTTCATTTTTGGAGTTGCCAGCCTGCACTTTTATCCTAGCTATTATCAATATTATACAAGTAAATCTTGATTTTACTAGGAGCAGAAAATGTAAAAAATATGGTGATATATTTCATGTGATTTGGCCTGACAGATACAAAACCACACTAGCAGAGAGAGTCTTTATTCTAAAATGACACATCCTTCATAATATTCAAAAAAACATTCTATGTTGACTCTGACATGAAGTAACTTGACAGTGTAAATAAAATAATTTACATGCACAGTCAAGTTAGATTGTGTCAGCAATTATTGTTTGAATAAATATAAAATTTTCACGTTTTGTCAAAGATGCAAAATGTTGGGTATCCATGATGGAAAGTTTACAAACATCGTAACAAACATCGCTGGTTCTATCCAGTCTTTGGGAAATATTTTCTGTGAACGGTTACGTGTATAAGTTGAAATGGTATAGCCACAGTTCTTAGCTAACTTCACTGTAGCCAAATGACTGACACTTGTGCTTTATAAATTTGTCATCAACTTTTGTTGTATAAATCGGTCTAGGTGGAGCAATCGGTTTACTTTCTGTATATCAGGGTGCAAACTTGCCATTCAGGCATGCAAGTTGTTGCTAGTATGTACTAGCCCAAGAGACTTTTAAGTAGCCCCTCAAAAAATTTAATGAGCAGCATTGATTACAGTTCTTCTGTAATTTGAATTTCCTAAAAAACTTCACTTGCCCTGCTGGCAAGTTAAGAACACAATTCACTAGCCCGATTGCAAAATCCACTAGCCCCAGGCTATCAGACACGTCTTTCTTTGCATGCTGGTATATGTACATGTTCATCCTTCCTCAAGATGCTCAAACTAATAATGGATAGAAAACATTTAGCCAAAGACTCGCTTAGTGCTAATGATGTGGATGCTTGCATGTTCAAATGTTTGAGTTACACTGTAGGAAGATAAATGTATGTTTACTTGTATACAGTTCCTCAGTTAATGCCCCCTGTTTAAGATCCAATGACTTACAATAAAAGTCCACAAAAACTAACAACAAAATAAAAACAAAAGTTTATGGATGAATGTCCAGGTGAACGTTCCAGTCCTGAATAGGACTGTTGTTATTGACAGTCACTGGTGTTTCAACAATCTGTAGTATTCATCTTCAGAGTCACTCAGAAGATGAATACTGCACAGGTTGTTGAAACGTCAGTCACTGTCAACATTCAGGAAGTACATTCACCCGGACAATCATACTCAGCCTACTTATGAAATGACTCCTGGGTTCAAACCTTTCACAAAATAACATGTTAACATTACTAAACATGTTAACGTTAACATGTGTAAAATACCAAACAATTCTTACTTTCAAACGAGGTCAGAAAGCCTGAATTTATCACACATATAAAAATATATATATATTAATAGGACACCATTGTGAAAGAGGTATAAAGCTGGCCCATACATATATACTAATCAGATGTGTCAGAGACACATGCACACTCAGATGCAGAGGTACAAATTGCACACACACATTTTTTGGACAGTTGTTTTGAGCTGCATGCACTGTACATATACATGTCTAGGTATCTAGCGCAACTGTGAAATTTGCATGAAGACAGTCTGTGGACCAAGAGCATTAT